GTGCTATATGTAATACAGGTTTGTTCCACATGAAAGCTGGCTAAAAATAAATTTTCAAGTGTTACAGGAGGCTACATAGGAACCCAAGTGAAAAGGACATCATGCTAGATGCATGCATGCTTATTCTCCTCCAAAAGATGTTATGTAATAATACAGTAATAGCCCGTTCTGATCCAAGATGCAAATGTATACACATGGAACTGAAAATGTCAACCTATGCATTTTTTTATGGTTGTTGAAAGCAAACTAAAAAGCTAACAAACATACGAGTGGGATTGCATGCCTCACCACCAAAAGTGACATCTCAACGTCTCTGTTCCCACAAGAATCCATGTTCGACGAGAAACAAAAAGTGAAAAACACTAGCATTTTGCTCATTTCCTTTGCTGCTCTGTTTGTAATATTTGAGATAATTAAGGGACAATCCCTAATGCAGGTTAGTTTTAAGTACTCCCACCCGTTTTGAATTGTAAGTCCTTTTGACCTTTTTAGTATATGTTTTTACTATGCACACACATATATATACACACTATGTCTAGAAACATAGTAAAAGTTGTTGAATCTAAAAAAGCCAAAACAACTAACAATTTAGAACTGAGAGAGTAAGATCTTTGCAATTTGGCCCTTTTCAATGGATGAGAGGCAAAGTTTAAGAATCGTGTCAATCAATAGGGAGGTTTCTATAATTTTATCAATCTTAAGATATGCCAATCGGTCTAGTCTCACGGAGGTACCGTGTTTGTGCAAGCATATCCTTACATGCGTTCATTGTTGAATGTACATGCGTATGTATATATGACGCAAAATTGCAAGAGCAGAACGAAAATACACCTTCATGGCTATGTCATATGAATATATGATGCAATGGTGCATGCATCATCTTGTTGCACTTATTAAATTAATCTAATATAATAAGATAGTTTGTTTAATATTCTCTCACCTCTCTATCAAATCACATAAAGAACCTTCATATGATGTATGATACAGTGGTACATGCATCATCTTGTTGCACTTATTAAATTAAGCTAATATAATACAGTTTCCTGAAGATTCTCTCACCTCCCTATCAAATCACATAAAAACCTGCATAAGTCAAGGTCTGTTTGTTTCAGCTATAAGCTATGGAAAAGTTACTGTGTAAGATATGAAAAAGCTAATGTAAGCTGCTTGTTGTTTAAAAGCTGTAAGTTGTTTGGTTGAAACAACTATAGAACCTTATCCTCCCTCTATCTCTTTGAAACAACTCTAAAACACCTATCTATTTTCACCCATTTTAAAAAGCGGAAAGCCAAAAGCCAAAGCAGGATCCAAGGGTGTTGCGAAAATTATACTACACGAAAACAACAACTTCTAGAAAAACAGCTTTAAGTTCCACCTGTTTGGTTTGCGTTGTACTTTTGGTAGTAGAAACACTTTCTAGAAGATGTACCAAATACAAACTTAATCTATAGAAGATGGCTAATGAGGACTCATGTAGATAGGCAGGAGTTTGTAAAAGCATTGCTTGGAATGTTTCAAGAGTGAACTCTTACTCGTATCCACTCACACCGGCTTAAGAGCTAGTGAACATATTGACTACGATGAAAGGAACTACTAGGCTTGAAAAATATTAAATGAGATAGACATTCTATCTATACATCTTTTCTTAGCTTGAAACCTTATAATAAGAATCTTCTACAACTAAAAAGAACAAAGCATGGATACTTTTTGGTGCGACATTTGTTTTGGGTCCGCTGTCACCTCTTCATGCGACAAAAACGTCGACACGTCGGTCTGCCTTCCCCATGCGATCCCGCGAGTCACCCGCAATCGAAACCGCCCCATCCGCAAGCCCACCCGTGATTGAAACCTACTGGCTCCAGAAAAAAAAAAAAAAAGAAAAACAAAGACGCTAGAAATCCTATTGTCCTGCTGAGAACCGTGTCTTGCGCCATCGCCGTCGCGTGCGTCCCGACGGCCGCACGGGCCGCTGCGGGGGCCCTCCACCGGTCGCTACTGCTGCCTGGTTGCGGTCACGGCCAGGACGGGGGAGGACCGCCGCACCCCTGCCGTGGCGGCCGTAGCCAGCCGGGTGCTCTCCTACTTGAGAGGTTTGGGAGGGATGTGTGCGCGCCGTGGACGGCCTCGCTGGCGGCCTACTCCATGGCTGCGGACCAAGGTACCACTACTCGCATTCTAGATCCCCTGGAGCTCTAATTCGGCATGACGGAATCCTTCCCTTGGACTCAAGGCCTCTTCTCCATTGTGACAGGGGTGGGGAAGGGTGCGGGTGGTGGGCCGCCGCTAGCTGCCCTTGGATCCTCTCCCCTGTGGCGCTCCCTCTGGCTTCCTCCGTTTGGCTAACTCCTCGGCACCCTCAGATCCGCCCCTCACCCTTCTAGCTGCACTGCAATCCTTCCCCCACCAGGCAATTCGAATCCAGCAGTGTTAAGCACACGGTAGACGGTGGTAGAATCTACGTCGGCGTCGCCTTGCCCGTTGCCTGCGTCTCCCCTTCAACCATGAGTGTCCATGAGGCATTGATCCTTTCCTCAATTTTCATATGGATGATTGAGTGATCTTAACGAAGCCACATTTTTTGCATGGTTGCCTGCGCGGCGGGGGGGGGGGGTTGAAGATCCACTCGAGCATGGCACCAGGTGTTTGAACAGGTATGCCGAAAATCCATCAAAGCTATCAGGCACACAACCCCAATTCACTCTCTGAACATATACAAGGTCACGTCTTCCCTCTCATCCTCTTCTTGTTTTACTAAATTGGTTAATGATCCATCACGTGCATACGTACTCTTAAAAATCATTTGAAATGGATCAATTCTAATCCACACTCAATGTGTTTGATAAAATGTTTCTGAGAGGTTGGGAAATTATTTTCCACTAATGCACTTTATTCCTTAAACAGTTGTACAAAATATATCATATATTTTCTTTCCTGATTTTTGTGGTTACCTACACAAGAATCGATTACATGAATTGGCCTCATCATTCAGTTTAGGTTAACTCTCGTTTAGAATAGTGTTTGTAGTCTGGATGAAATAGAAGCTACACCATTAAATACTATTGATTTTTTGTTTGGCTATCTGGCCTAAATAAATATTTGGATTCATTATCTAATAGTTCTAGCCTTTTTTTTGTTAGCAAAACAGATTAAGGTGACCCCGGCCGGTGGTAGGGCAGGCGAATGACCCCGGCCGGTGGTAGGGCAGGAGAACGACCCCGGCCGGCGGGAGGCAAGAGAGCCCCTTATCTGTTTGGGCACTTCTCCCTGTCGTCGTGGATCCACGAGCCAATTGCCTGGTCACGAGCAGAGGCGAAGGAGGAAGGAGCATATGTGAATGCGGACTTGGCAGCGGCTACCGGACTCCGTGGCGCACCTCCTCCTATAGTTTTTTTATATGTGTGAAGGTTACCTTAGGTGTTGTAGTTTGCTTCAGTTTCTTATTAGTTTTTTTATATCGTCGTGATTTTAAATATTTTTAATGCCCATCCTCGAACTTGATGGTAAAATATCTGAAGCTTGCTTGATCCAATTTGTTCTCCTATGCAGGGTACTCTTACTGATAACGAAGAAGACACCTGCATTTATGTTTGTGACATTAATCCAAACATGCCAAGTGTTGGAAAGAAGCGTGCTGCAGAAACGGGTCTCAAACATGAACGTTTTAATATATTTTGACACCTAAGCATGGGTTCTGTTGTTCAACACTTGACTCTTATTTTTAGGCTACAGCGAGGAACATTCTCTCAGCTGGATACAAGGAAATGCAGAAGCTCTAAGTTTTGAGGATGGATCTATGGGTGGCTATACTTATTGCCTTTGGGATCAGAAATATGAGACACATTGAGAAAGCTCTATCAGAAGCCTTACAGGTTGGCTAATTTCTTTAGAAATCCCAAATAGAAAACTATTAGTGCTCCTGTCTCGAGTATGTTGCGAGCTGATACACATCAGGATGCTGTAGCGATTTCTTTCATGTTTTGGATGTTTGCAAACTTTTAACCATTGTCGGTTAGATTATATAGCATGTGCTTTTATATACAAGTTTGGAAATGATGGCGCTTGTTTCAGCAGCCATGCAGAAATTCAAAATGTTGCATAATGCTTGTGCTAAGGTTTTATATCTAGATGGTAGCATCAGCCAGGTGTGTTGTATATGTGAGGGAAAGAAAAATCTTGACTTGCTAGAAATTGGTGGTACTTGAACGGCAATCCATTGCAATACTATAATAGTTTCATTATAGTAGCATTTATATATGCTTATTGGTTCATGTCCTCACTGCTCATATCTGAATAGTGAGGGAGAGAAAAATCTTGAATGGCTAGAAATCTGCATTATTTATTCTGTATTTTTTTTGGTATACTATCTGTTTGCTGGCACTGAACATCGCACAAAGAATAAGGACACAGAGCATCATCTATTACTATCGCACAACGAATAGGTTCCTTTGCTTCACTGTCCACCGTCGTTCTTACAATTATTGGTATTTCGTTCTTATAACTATCTCCATGTTCTTCCAAAATCTTTCAAGAAAGCTAATTTAGTAGGCTATTATTAGTCAATTTTCTTTTTTTAAGAAAATCGAACGGAGCCTGCAAATTATTTTGTTACTAATTGTGGATTAGTAAAATAAGTGGCAAGTAGCCTATCATGCTTTCAGAAATAGCAAGCAGAAAAACTACGCCAGTGAATAAATGGATTCATAAAACAAAGGAAATTCGATCAAGTTAGCTGCAGCTTTTCTCAGTTACTATAGCAGCTTCGAGCACTCAGTAATAACAACATTTATTTTGCATACATATACTGTCATGTGCGTGTTTTATTTTGTGTTACATGAACAATAGATAAAGAACTAAGGGAGGAAAGAACAAAAGCACGCTATCATCCCTTCGAGAACCTAAGCGACGTCCTATCCACGTTCCACATCTCACCAGGCTCCGCTGAGGCGGCGCAAGTGGAGGACACCCTAAGAAAGTGCCAGCACCCGCCAATCGCCGGTGAGATGAAAGCCTGCACCACGTCCCTGGAGAGCACCGTGAAGGCCGCCATGGAGATGCTCGGCACCACCAGCAGCCAGCTGCAGGGTGGTGGTGGTGACTACGTGTGGGCGACCACGTCGGCGCTCCCCCGCGGTGGCCTGCTGCCACGCCGGGATCGGAGTGCGTGGTCCAGACAGTCACCCCACTCATTGGCAGCCGCTACGTGTCCTGCCACAAGGAGCCGTTCCCGTACGCCGTCTACCAATGTCACGTTACGAATAGGGGGTACAAAGCTTACATGGTCTCGCTTAGCGGCCGCCACGAGGGCCCGACGGTTTCCATGCTGGCGTTCTGCCATTTTGACACCTCCGGCTGGAACCCGATGCACCCGGCGTTCCAGATACTCAACACCCACCCTGGTGGCAGTACGCCGGTGTGCCACTTCATGTCGTACGGCAATCTCGCGTTCGTCAAGAAGGCAGGCACAGCCTAGCTTGCTACTGCAGTCTTCGTTACTACGCGCGCCAGTGTCGTGCTCTGGATATCAACATGGCGCGCTCTTTGTTCATGTGAACCGTAAATATATTCGTGGACATGCATCGTCCATTCTAGCTGATGATAAGAATGGCGCTACTAGCTTTGGATAGATGTTATATAAGTACATATGTCGCTACTAGCTTTGTCAGAAGAAAATATATAAGGGTGTACAAATGGTGTGTGTCCACGTACGTTTGTTTGGATAGATGTTATATAAGTACATATGTCGCTAGCGTTGGTGAGTTGAGGCTCCGATCCCTACATGTTGCTACTAGCTAGTGCTGGTACATGTCAATGTTACTCCTGTGTGAAACTTGTGGTTGGTGCTGTGTGGCCGAGCTAGCTAGCGCCGAACATACTGTATCATCGTGTTGTGAATGAATATGTTCAAGTATGTATACTACATATATTATATGGGCCTCCCAGCAAACAATTACTCTCTGTTCATCACCATAAATATCCATATATAAACCATTGTTTATTCTTGAAATAGTATTGGCCCAGTTTTATACATGTTAATTCCAAGATCATGCAAGTTGGCATCATTGATTAGTTGGTAAATCTATATCTATATCTATACCTAATAATAAAGAGGCAAAATTTCCGGCCATTCTTTTCGTCCATCCATTCTTTTGGTCCGTCTCCCTCTAACTACCCAACAATGGAGAATTTCTTTTGTTCGGACTTATATATATATATATATATATATATATATATATATATATATATATAACCCATACTCATACGAGTTAGAATAGCTCGCGTCTAGACCAATATAAAGTAAGAATCCTAATCTAAATAGATTCCTTAGATCCTGAGTACTCTAAATAAAACTCTTAATAATCAAATAGAAAAGGATAAGAGTCACGTTCTTTATTTTGCTCCGCTTTCTTTATTTAGTTATATATGTCAAAAGGAGGCAAAAAATCACGTCCTTATGTTCCTTATTTTATATATTTTCAGTCTGTTTACAAAGGAACCAAACTCCAACTTCTATCACCTTTTTTCTTCAAGCTTATAGAGTCCGAATATCTTACAGGCCTGGTGGCAATCTTTCTAAATAGTAACATAGCTTTTCACAAATACGATAAAGCTAAACCATGGACCATCATCAACGTATTCAAGAATCCGTGCAAGAAAAAAAAACAATTTAGAAACCAATCATCACGGAGAGATCCCATGAAGTATGGCCGTATGGGCGCTGCCACCATGGAAACGCTAGAGCCTTGTGCATGACCTCCATGTACCATGTTGTCACTGGCCTGGTCCTCCACGAGTCTCCATATGTCTATTCCTTATTACCGGATCTAGAGACTAGCGCACTACTATAAAAACAATTTTTAGCAACTGAGTTTTTTTAGGGGCGGCTCCATCACCAACTCCAAATCGAACAGTAGGGGTGTCTGGTGATACGAGCCGCCCCTACAAATAGGTAGATTTGTAGGGAGCGGCTCACTCACAAGCCATCCTTACAAAAACGTTTGTAGGGATGGTTCAAGTCACAGGCCGCCTCTACAAATAGGACTTGTAGGGCTGAGCCGCTAGTCCTACAGAGGCTCACCAGCTACCCCTACAGTGCTTTCTTTAGCAGTGAGCGGGACCCTGAGCTCGTTGGCTTAGTTGACCCCGGTGAGTACCATTGGCAAGAAGGAGACGTGCTCCTCGCTGCTGCTGCTGCTGGTTGCAGCCTAAGCGAGCTTGCTCGTTTGGCCGCTTGCCGGGCATGCCATGCACCAGTCACGGGGCTCGCCACCCTTCACCACAGATGCCCCGTGTAGACGCTGACTCCTCAAGCTATCTCCTTGGACACTCGATTAGGACTCCGCCAGCTCTCTCTCCAACTCCTCGACCGATGTGGGAACAGAAGCAGGGAGCTTTGACTTGGATGAGGCATGAGGCGAGACCGCGAGATAGATGATTGAGAGAACTGAAGAGAGGAGATAGGTGTGGTGCAGGGGCGGACCCACGGGTATGCCAGGTGGGTCACGGCATACCCTGTGGGGCATGCCTTGTGCTACTTAGGACTGGATTATATTTTTTGATAAGAAAATCTTCTACCAAGATTATTGAAACATCTTGTTAGCCCGGTGGTAAGCACGTTTCTCTTTTGACCGTGGGGTCGCAAGTTCAAACCCCTGCAGCTGTATTTTCTGTTTTTATTTTCCATTTTGCATTTTCTGTTTTTATATTTTCCATTTTATGTTCCCTTTAAATATTAACTGTAGATAATACATTTTTTCTTTAGTTTTCGTATTTTTGTCTCTTGTTGTGTCCCGTGAAACCTCAGCTACGTGTAGTTTTAAATTTCTAATCTTTTATCCCCTCTCAATATTAATAACTAACCTATATGATATTTCATCTTTTATTTTTCTAGTTGTGCATGAAGATTAGGGCAATAAGTTGTTAGAGTGTGGTTAACAGTTCGTCCAACATTAGTATTAGAAGATAACATATCATGTGAGTTTTTTTATGAAATTTCATTGATATGGTTTACCGAATTGGAAATGGTTTTACCAAATTACATAAGAAAAATGTTGTGCGACATACCCTGTATTAAAGTCCTAAGTCCGCCACGGGTGTGGTGGCAACATGCATGTGCAGAAGGTGCTGTCACGTAGGAGTATTCGGTATGTATTATTGTTTTCTCAGTATGATTCACCTGCTTGGCTCTTCGATTCTTTGAAGGTACTAGCAAAATTTCTAATTAATTTTTTAAACAATGAGTTCGGTGGTTCACATGCATGTAAGTAATTAAGTATGGCTTGATTCAATGCTACTATTTAGGAAGATTATCAACTCTTCATTTTTCTCGGAAACTCAAACCGGCATCTGCCGGTAAATTCAGAGGCGAGATCCTCTCAACTGGCCAATACTTGTCATTATTCTTAGTTGAGATCCTCTCAACTGGCTAATACTTTCTTAGTTGAGTTATGATGTGATCAGTATTGTTCTAATTTACATGATTACAACATCATATTCTATCCACATCAAGATAGCTAGCATATCAAGTTTACCCAGTTTGTTGATCTTTGAAAATAATACAAGACGTGTGGGGAATATTATTTCCTGTGCAAAGCACAGATGCACATTTTAAATATAATATTTATATCTATATTTATCTATATATATATATATACCTAATAATAATAATATTAATCTATATACCTAATAATAATGAGGTAATATTTCAACCTATTTTTTGGTCCATCCATTTTTTTGTCTGTCTCCCTCTAACTACCGGACAATGGAGAGTTTTTTTTTTTGTCCATACTTATATATAACCCGTGCTCATATATGAGTTAGAATACCTCTTATCTAGCGCCATACGAAGTGCGATTCCAAAACGTGTTGGGTCATGTACGTGACCTGGACTCCTAAGCTATGCTCATGTGTTCGTCAATCACCTTGTTCTAATACTTTTTGGATCTAGATACAAGGTTACTGTGAGTTTAAATAGGAGTGCGTCTGTGGTTCTATTTATTTTCCTATTCCTTCTTTTCCTGCCAGACTAATCCGACTTCTAATCTTTTTATTACGAAATAGTTTTTTTTATTTCAGTGTTTTTTGTTTTTCTTTTTATTTTTCATTTTACATGTGCTTTTTTCACGTAATCAGAACATGGTAGAAATAGTTTTTTTTATTTCAGTGTTTTTTGTTTTTGTTTATCTTTTTCATTTTACATGTGCTTTTTTCACGTAATCAGAACATGGTACGAGTTACAACAGGCTTGAGTCCGATCCCAAAGAGCCCCCGCGCCAACCCACGTTCAGTCCATTCCTTTTCCGTGATGTTTTTTTGTTAGTTTCCGTTGGCTGTCCACCGGTTCCTTCTTCTATTTCTTCTTTTATTTTCCAAAGAATATATTAAAAATAAAGAAATTCTTTTATTTTCCAAAAATATATATTAGAATAAAGAATAAATGCAACATTATAAACCTTGGAAACCTTGATCCCTGTATCTAAGAAATAAATGTTGCTACCATCAAGTTGTTGGTATAATTTTCATTAAAAACAAAACTTATATCGTTAGAGTATGGTTCAGTCAATGGTCTGAATAATCAAACTATAAATTGAAATTGAAATCTTGAGCAGTTTGCTTAGTGTAATCTATACCTAATAATAAAGAGATAAACTTTCTTCCCTTTTTTTTGTTTGGCATTTCCCTAACTAACTTTGTGAATGTTGAAATAATTGTTTCTTTTCACATCCACGCGTTCAAATATATAAGCTTTTTTTGAGTAATCTAAATAGGAATCATGATAAGAAAATATAAAAGGAATAAGAGTATGAATCTATCCCGCTTCCACACGTCCCTGAACTTTTGATCTCCATTCCGCTTCCACCAGCACAGTCTGTCCTTTTACCGTCTCCCTCCCTATGTTTTCTTATTTTCCCCATAAATGAAAACAAATAATCTATTTATAACAGGGCCAACGTATCAACAAATACTCTTTCAAAACAGGAGCTGCCCGTTTCTCCGCGTGGTTGTTGGTCACGTACTCATCGGACTACTATACTACGGACATAACTATACGAATTATCTAAACCAAGTCGAATCAAACCAATAGGATAAAAATTATCGTCATGTTCACTTGGCTTATAAGCTATACTTTTTTAGCCAACGAACAATATTTTACTCTCACAACAAATCAGCCAACAGTACTTTCAGCCATGGCTTATCAACCAAGCGAACAGGCCATATAGATTTTGTAACCAAATAATAAAGGTCTAGAATAATTTAAGCAACCCATGCTAGATACAATAAAGGTTTACGTTTGTAACTCGCTAGGATCATCGATAACATGTTCAAATAGCCGACACCACATGTTTTGATTGTAATTAGAAATTCATGACCTAGGTCAAGGTTCACAAACATATTTAGGCCTCGTTTGGTTTTTTAGATTCAGTTTCACGAACAACTTTACTGATAAAGCCGAAGCTATTTTAGTGACCTATT